CCCACACCCAGGGGAGTCTCCCCTGTGCTGTACCAAGCAGGTTGACTCTATAAAGTGAATTAAAGCCCAGCCCAAAGCCCAGCCCCGAGGTGCCCCTGACCTGCTCCGGCGTCGCAGTCCTCCGAGGAGACGCTGTTCTCCGAGACCCTCCTGCCCAGCGCCGTCCTCCTGGGCTCCCTGGGCACCTGCTGGGCACAGAGCCACCCCCTGAGCTGCCTGCACAGCCAGGGCCTGCTGGGGGTAATCCCTTAAGAGGCCCAGGTGTCACTAGCAAAGCTGCTTGGCCCGAATAAACGAGTCTGGCAGGTGACATCTCCTTTAAAAGTTTGATCACAGAACTGCCTGACCCTGTCACCTGGGGGACACCTTCCCTGGAGAGGTCACCTGGTGCCCTCTGACAGCTCTCCTGGTTGGAAAAGGAGCACAGGGATCAGGTTTTCAGGTGGTTCCCACTGCACACACGAACTCTGGTGCAGATTTTTGCCACTCACACCGTTTCTGTGGAGATCTAAAATCAGGTGGAGGGTGAAAGGAGAAGCCACCTGAAATCTGCACTGATTTTCAGCCACAGGGAAAAGGGAACTGGTAGTATTGTAATAAAAGTTATCTCAAGTTACCTGCTTTGATTTGGACAGTTCATGCATTTGGTACCAAATAATTCCCTGATTAGGTCTGATAAAGCTGAAGCTTAAGCAGGAGAGATAAATATTCCCAGACCTGCAGGATAATCACTCCCTGCCAGGCTGCAGAGCTGGACAGGGTGTCCCTCAGCACCACACAGATGCTCTGGCTGCCTCAATCAGATTTTTACACTTGTTTGTTGGACACCAACCCCCCAAAATCCAAATCCCAGCAAAAGAAACCGTGAAAAGAAGTTTCCACAGCTTTGACAAAACCTCCTGAGCACAGAGTTCAGCTGGACCCCACCAAGGTGGGGTTGTTTTCACAGCTGAAAGCCCAACCCATAAAACCCTAGAAGGTGCTGGGTCTTTTGTTGCCTCCCTAGGAAGAGTTAAATCACAGCTGGAAATGCAGACTGAGGCTAATGCAGGGAAAAAAAAAAGGCAGGTTTTGGCAAGATGCTCCAACCACACATTCCCCCCCTCCCCAACTTTTCCAACGAGTTTCAGATTTGCTGCTCACCAAACTGGAGGAAATTCCAAAGTTTATTTTAACACTGCTCTGTAAGACAATCACTGTGAAAAAATCAGGGCTGCTTTCCATGCAAACAGCAGCTTCACCAGGAAAGGAAAATGCAGCTGGAAAACCTCTTTTTTTTTCCATTAGGATGGGAAATAGTTTCTATTTCTGTGGTTTAAGGGCTTTGGTAACTTTTCTTACTGGAAAAGAGCTTTAGCTCTGACAAGTCTTTTCCTTCCCTTGATAGGCTCGGGCTGGGAGTGCCTGCACTTGTAAGGACTTGCAGATTCCTCATGAAGGGTGAAAACTGCTCTTAAATGATCCTTATTCAGCCAGTGACCCCTTCCCTGTCACCCTGAGCCCGGGGTTCTTGCTGCTCAGAGATTTGTTAGAGGTCAGGGATATTTCAATAAACCTCCCAGTATTCAGTAAATCTATAAATATCTATAAATATACACGTGGGTTTTACATCAACAGTTTTGTATTGGGGGGAGGAAAGCAGAGTAAAAGGAAAAAGAAGTTTAACAGAGGGAAGATGAGGGACTTTCCCCATCACAGTCTGCAGGGACCAACTGCAGGGAATCAGTGGTTCATGGGAGGTAACACCCCTCACGTGGAGGAATTCCCAAATCCCAGCCTTGGGCACGTGCTGTCAGTTCCTTCCCAGCCCTGGATCCCCAAGGCACAGCTTTGGGAAGGAGAGGAGACATCCCTGGGGTGTGGAAAGCCCCAAGTTCTCAGCCCTGGGCGAGGGCAGAGGCACCAGGAGGGTGGTTAAAGCTTCACCCTGGGGCACAGAGTCGGGAAAAAAAAAAAACCCAAATCGAAGTCACACCTCTTTCATTCCACCCCAGATGTGTGCCCTACACACCACAGCCCTGAAACCCAAACCAGCCTGGAGACAACTCTGCCAGAAATGCTGCTCTTCCTCCTCCTCCTCCTCCTCTGATCTCCCCCGGCTGTGCTTTCACTGCCACTTCCAGGAGGAGCCCTTCGAACATCAGGGCTTTTCTCACCCCCAGGCTGTGCTCAGGCTGAACTCCAGCCTGCCGTGCCTGCCCCTAATGGGATTAGAGAGCAGTTTGTCCCCGTGAAAACGCAACAGGGGAGGATCTGCCACCTCTCCGTTGCAGAATAAATGAACAAAGGAGGGAGGTTTTGCTCCTAAACCTGAAAACGAGAGTAGGTTTGTTCAGAGGGGGAGATGGAACCAGGAAATCCAGGCTCTAATCTGGATTCTTGCCCCAGACCTGCCCAGGGACCAGGAAGGTCCATTTACTGTTCCAGTCCACCCAGATGTTCTGTCAGCAAAGCTCTGACAGCACTTGCACCTGAATTAAATTCCCAGGAAAGCCTCCATCCCTCAGCTGAATTTACAGTTGGGCTCCGTGATCAAAAAGGTATTTTCCACCAAAATGATTCCACGGAGAAGCCTCAGGAAAGAAGTGGGAAGAGGCAACTGCAGAGCTGCACTGGCCACACTCACAGCAGGGCTGTCCTGGCTTCCACTCCACTGAACCAGAGCTGTGTCCCCCCAGTGCCAGCTCCCCTCACTGCACAGGACATGACATCACCCTCCTGCCCTCAGATCCATTCCCAGAACCAGGAATTTAACTGCACAGACACCCCTTTCCCCCCCCAATACAGTCCTTAACTTCCCAACACTCCGTGCCTTTTTTCCCCTTGTAAAATTAAAGGCTAACAGATTAACTTGGGAGAGGGATTTCGAACCCAGCCCGGCCAGTTCCATCCCTCCTGGACGGCGTTTCCTGTGTTTTAGCCGGTTCTTAACAATGCCTGAATCACCAAACTCGACCAAACCATCAGCTTCACGTTCACTCGGGTCCAAAACAATTTACTCCCCAGCCTGAGATAAAGTTACTCGAAGTCCATCTGCAGGATTCCAGCGGAATCCTGAGTGATGAATCCCGAGTTCAGGGAAGGGCTGTCGGGACATCGCCCTCCCCGCGGGGGACAGGGTGGGCAGCTCTCACAGCGTGACAAAGGCTCCAAAAAATCCGGAGTTGTGAAACTTTGTGAAGCTCCACGCGGACCCAAACCTCGCTCCGACACCGACCGGCTCCTCCGAGCCCTAAATCCTTGCCCAAAATACGTTTGTTTTCACCCAACGCTTCAAGAAAAAACCACCCGCAGCAGAACAAAGCCGGGAGGAAGGGGGGGGAAACGATGAGAAAAACTGGAAAATCCACCAGCATCGGGGCCTCGGGACCCGCGTTTCAAGTCCCCGGCATATGCAACTCATTTTGGAGTTGAGCAATTCCCCCCCCCTCCGGGGACACTCGGAGTCCACACGCGGGATCGGATTTCATGAGCAGTCGGAGGAAAAATGCGAGCCCTGAGCATTTGCAAGTCAAAACTAGCGAGGGCAGGAGCTGCTCTGGCCATCTCGGCTTCGTTTCCCCCCCCGAGGGATTTTTTAATTTATTTTTTTTTCCCCGATAAGAAACGTTTGTTAAGATCCAGAGATGTGGGAAGAGCGAGGAAAAGATGGGAGTATTTCACAACGCATATTTATGCGTGTATATGTGTATATATATATATATGTGTGTGTGACTCGTGCTGATCCAGATATCAAAACCTCTCACTCCTCAGTGCTTCAGCTTGACTGCTGAGCTCACCTCAGTTACTTCTTCTTTCATATGCAGATAAAAACACGTAAATATATAAAATAAATTAAAAATACATAAATATATAAATATATATAAATATATACATATATACATATGTATTTTTGCACAATTCCTGCTCGTGTAACTCACCGCAATCCTCACACGAGGCAGAAACAATCCCGACCTAATAAATCCCGTTTTCTCCCTTCAACCAAACCCCTTCCAGGAGCAAAAACCATTTCACCCCAACGAGCCACCAGCTCCCAGCGTCCTGCACGCACTGGAGAGGCTCGAGTAAGTCGTTCCCACCGCGGTGTGAGTTATTAAACCCCACGATGTCCTGCTTTTATCCCCCCCCCGAAACAATGCACACGAGATTTGCAGAGCCCGGAGCCGGAGCCACTCCCTCCCGGGGGTTTTCCCGGTGCTCCCCGGAGGAGGCAGCAGCTCCAGCTGCTCCCGGGATTTCGGGAAAGGAGCGCCCCTTACCTTGGCCTGGGGGGGCTCGCCCTTCTCGAACATCATCTTGAGCTTGCTCAGGGGCACGTTGTACTTCTCGATCCTGCCCGGGGGCTCCGCGCCCTCGCCGGCCTCGGGCTTTTCCACCTCCCTGGGCTCTCTCACGCAGTTTTCCATGCTGGCACCCTCCGGGGAGCGGGTTCTGGCCTTCGAGCCGTCAGCGGGGGCAGCCCCAGCCCCCGGGGATGGGGAAGGAGCGCGGCCGGTGCCGACCTTGTGCCGAACCTCAGCGCAGCCGCCCCGCAGCGATTCCCTCCCGGGCTCCGCTCCCGGCGCCGGCTTCTCCCACTTCTTCTTCAGCGCGCTCAGATTGCCCCTGGGGAAGTGAGGGGGCAGGTTTTCCGCGTTCTGCAAGGGACAAGGAGTTAGTTCCGAGCTCTCCCGAGCGCTTCCTCTCCCATAGGCAGGGGGAAGGCGAGGGCTCCGCTCCCGGCCAGCTGTGAACAGTTCCAGCTGTGCCACATGGAGAAACATCCAGGACAGGGAAGGAAGGAGGGGGGGAGAGAGGAGAGAAAAAAAGTCAGGAAGTGAGCAAACAGGATGGCCTTATAAGGCAAAATGGGAGTCAAACCCGAGGGGTTAAATTCCACACAAAAGGCTCGAATCCACATATGAAGGAAATGGGACCCAAATCCACACAAGGAGGGAACGGGACAGGAGGGCCCGACCCTGCAGCGTCCTCAACAGCTATCAGGCCCTCCCAAAAGCTACAGATCAGTCCTCAGAAACCACTCAGCCCTTGGGGTTTTGTGTTTCCACTCCCAGGTAACAGCAGCACTTCAGCCCCAAGGGATCTGACCAGGATTTCACAAAGCTCCAGCCAAGCACCCACAACCAACATCCCCCCACTCCTCCTCCTCAATCCCAGAATTGTTAGGGTTGGAAGGGACCACTGCCAAGGCAGGATCACCTAGAGCAAGTAGGTTGTTGAATGACTCCAGGTAGGGAGAATCCAGGACCTCCCTGGGCAGCCTGTTCCAGTGCTCTGATAACCAGCAATTCGCTGGGATTTTTCCTTCTGTTCCACTCAGGCCACTGAAAGCTCTGCCAGGGACAGGCCCAGGGGGTCACAAACACACCTCACCCCTCCAGGGAGCACCTGGAGCATCCAGGTGCTTCCATCCCTCCCATCCAAGTGCTTCCATCTCTCCCCTCCCAGAGCAGTTCTGCTCCAGGCAGTTCCCCCTCCCCAGAGCAGCAGCCCCAGCCCCTGTTTGGTTCACCCCAACCCAGTACCTGCCACCATTGCATGTTTCCTGCCTCTCCCCTACAGAGACCACTCCAAACTCATTGCAAGTGGAGCAGGGCCTGCCAGGCTTACAGGAATTAACTGGGATTAGCAGCTATATTGGGATTTAAGTCTCTCACCCTATTACTCTTCTGGTCCCATTTTGAACAAACTGCTTTGCAAATTGACTTGAATCCACCTATACTTCCACAAAAAAAAAAAAAATTAAAAAAAAATCAGCCTGTTTGCTGACTGCATTGAAAGGAAAGCACTGAAATGATAAGGGAAGTGTTGTAATGGGACAGAAATCCTGGAGGTTGCACAGCAGGTTTCCATGGGAACACCTCTGGGGTCCCTGCACACTTCCTAACACGAGTCCCTCCTGCTTGGGATTTGCCTGTTCCCTGATGACAGGGGGACTGACAGACACAAGCACGAGCAGTGAAGGGAGTTTAAGACCCAAAAGTAATTTTCAGGGTGCTTATTTTATCCCAAACAGCAAAAGAGTGACGCCCCAAGAATTAAGGAACTCGAGGCAGCGACTTTCCTCTAGATCCTGAAAATATTGGCAGTCCTTTTAAACACTAATTACCCCGAGGGCCTGCTTGGACAAAGCCCTGCAACCTTCCTGCCTGGTGTTCCAGCCAAGGTTCCCTGACCCCGGAACACCAAGTGCAACAGAGGGAATGTGAGGCTGTAACAGAGCCAAAAAGGTTGGTGCTGCCTCATCCAGGGGCATTTCCAGCCCTGGAAGCCACTTCAGGGAAGATCCTGCAGCTCTCAAAGGCACACACGGATTTTAGAGAGGCTGGAGGCCTCTTTTAAGCACTTTTCAGTTTGGTTAAGAAGGGAAGAGGCACCACACGAGTGCCTCCAGCTGAGAACAGGAGGTGGGTGTTCACAGCCCATGGTTAACTCAGTTTGCCTTTTGCTGAGGGGTGAACTGGTGATTCAACAGAGCTTTGGGCCAGAAGCTTCATTTCCTTTCCTTTCCTTTCCTTTCCTTCCCTCCACACTGGGGGAAGGTGTGGAGACTGAGGCAAGAGCAAACACTGTGTCTAAGCCAAGTTCTCGTGGCAGCAACTTGGATATTCCAAAAATCAGCTGTCACAGCAACACTGGTGCAGGTGATCCATCCTGATCGTGGGCTCTGCTCATCCCCAAGGAAACAAATACTCATGCAAACACTTACACTTCTCTTCTTCTCAGCAGTGGCTTCTTCAGCAGCTTTCTGATACCTTTGAGAGGGAGAAAAACCAAACGAAAATGACTTTTTTTGACTAGACAGAACACTCCTGAAAAGACAGCTGGGATTTTTTTTTTCCCCCCAGCATGGATCTCACTCCCCAGATTCATCAACTAAAACCAGAGGCTGGACAAACAGCAGCAAATGACACAAAGCCAAGTGACAGACACATTTTCAGTCACCCAGTTTACAGTAATAACACCCATTAATGTTTCTCCCTCCCTAAGCACTTCTGATTCCCAAACAGAGACAGTTTACCTTGGAATAGCTGGTTTTGTTTCCGCCACCCAGCTGTCTGCTGTGCCCCCCTGGCAGGAATAACTCAGCTCTTTAGCCAGCAGCTGCTGAACCAGAACAAATCCCAGCTTGGCACACCCCAAAAAACCTCCCTGAGTGCCAGTGGATCTGACTCTGTGGGCTGGAAACTGCCCCCATTCAGCAGTTGGCTCCTGAGCAGCTGAGCCAGGGTTGCAGCAGGAAGGGTAATCACAGCCCTCCCAAGATAAGCCACCCTGGATCAGGAATCAAAGTCCTTTAAGGAGCTCTGGTGGGGAACTCCCTGCAATCTGCCCCCGGGGGGGAGTCCCTGCACACTCCTCACTGCTCCTGCACCACGCAGGGGGGCTGCACTTGGTGTCTGCAGTGTGAAAATTAGGGACAAATTTTGCCTTTTTAGGGAGAGCTCTGCTTTTCAGGGAGAGGGAACATCACCCAGTGTCTGTCTGCCTGGGCAAAGGGTGTTTCTGTTCTCCTTATCTGTGGAATTCTGCTTTTGACTCAGCTGTGAGTGTGCTGCTGCCTCCCCTTTAATCCCTGCAAACACACTCACCCACCTCTCTGCCCCACAAAGGGTCCAAAATTTGAGCAAGACACGCTGAGAAAGTGCTGCTGTGAAAAGAGGGATCAATGCTGGGAGAAGCAACCAAGAGGGACACAGGGATTAAGTCAAGTACCACCTGGAAAACACAGGAGGACTGAGGAGCCCCAGCCCTGCCCAGCACAGGGCACTGCTTGGATCCCTCCCGTTGCTGTTTGCCTGCCTGTGACCCGACAAAACTGATTATGTGGGATGGAAAAAGAAACGTTTTCGCAGACAAATATTTGGGTAACAGCATTTAGAAAAATCACCCTCCTCCCTGCAGGTGTCAGGGGGCAGGACCCTGTTTTTTCCAAGGAACTGACACTGCCTGTGCAGGGGGACAGGACTTGATTAAGGAATAGCAGTTTGGATTACTCCCAGTAAGCCCTTTTCGAGGGATTATCAACATTTAGCAAGATGACCAGGTCCTGTAATCAAGCTCCAGCGAGTGAATAAATTACCTTAAGGAGGCAGTGACAGCAAAGAGCTTCTCCCTGGCCCAGAGACCCACAGAGGAACTTGGAGATGTGCAGAGTTATCCCTCTCTTACACAGCTTCCCCCACACTCAAGATCCAGACACCCCTAAACTTTGCTCCATTATTAATGCAAGATCCCAGGAGGCTCAGGTGCCCCAAATCCCACTGAAAGTCCCAGCTGCATCCTATTATAATTCCTTGAGGAAATAGAGGCTTTTCCAGGAAACATATGCAGGTTCCCACCCCTCAGTGTGTACAAGATTTATGGTTTAACACTTCATCCATCTCTCAGAGGAAAGGCAAGGGTAATATTCCTCTTCTACCCAAGTCAGGGGATATTGGGAAAAGGTTCCTCCTCCAGAGGGTGGCTGGGCAGTGGGCATGGCTTCCCACATCCCAGTACTCCAAATTGCAGCTGGTAGTGTGACAGAAAATGATCTCCTTTAGCTCCTTTAGCTGAAAGAAGGTATTCCAGCTCTGACTGCTGAAACAAGGCAATGTCAGCAAGGAGAACAACCTTTGCCCAGCACATCCTAAACCAGAAACCTCAAGGCCTCCTCTGGGGTGTTTTGGAGCAGCAAAGCAGCAGTGCCTGCCCAAGGGAGCAGCTGTCACCTCCCAGCCCCACAGCCCCACTCACTTGGAGAACCTCTCAGCCAGGGCCGAGGACTTGCTCCTGTTGACCAGGGAAAGCTCCTTGGCAGTGATTTTCAAAGACTGGGAGGCCCACTGTCTTCTGCTGAACGGGGAAGGCTCCATCTTCTCTCCCCAGATCCCTGTGAGGAGGAAGGAACGTTGTCAGCAGCAGGAGTGGAGAGCAGAGGAGGAGGTTTCAGAGTGATTTGTTGCTGTCCCCATGCAGGTGCTCCCAGTGCCCCCAACCCCACGGGATCCCACCCATCAGCTGACTTAAAAAAAAAAGGCAGCAGGTGCCAATTATCATTTCCTCAGCAGATGCCACCGAGGTGGTGCCCTGATAAAGCCTCCAGGAGGGGGTGAGAGGGGCCAGAGGATTCCAGAGTGAGGATTTCAGAGTGACACTCTCATGTTTCCCACACACACCCACCCCCAGAGGAGCTCCAGGAAGCCCCAGAGTGCCCTCAAACCCAAACCTGCTGGCATTTATGTAAGAGGGCTCGAGTTCTGAAACTAAGGGGATGTAATTCCTGGGCAAACATTTGTCATTCACTCTCGTTTCGCTCTCGGTTTCCTCTGTGAGTGTTCCCCGACCCTCCTGTCACAACAGTGACCACAATGGCACTTAAATAACACCAGTCACCTCCAGAACAGCTCTCACTCCCTCCCCATCCTGCTGGAAACGGGATTTTGTCCAGCTTTTCACCACCTCAGATTTATTTTTTTACATGCTCTTTTTGTGGAGGAGGAAAGGAGGGGAGATCATAATTTAAAGAGTTCTCTGATAAGACAAAAATAAAAGCCTGGAGGGAAACGCCTTTCCTTTTTTTTTCCCCCCCTCTTTTCTTTTCTCCCTGGTCCCCACATCACACAATGCCAACTGCTGGGGCTGAGCTCTTCCTTGCATTTTCCAGTAATTCCTTTAAGGGATTTGAACAGTCACAGAACTCTGGATCCAGTCTGAGGCCAGGGCTGAGGCCAGGGCTGCTGGATGACTGGTCACAGGTAAATGGAAACACCTTCAGGCAACAGTGGATCAAAGGGAGGGATGAGGACATTCCCCAAATCCTCACAGGTGTGGGAATGCACCTGCTCAGAAATGAGGGAGACTTGGGATTCTGCAAGGCCTGGGGCCAGGAGAATTCAACTGCCTGGGCAGAGCCTGCAGTTCCCAGGGCTGGAATGGGAGCCCTGGGGCTGGAATGGGAGTGGAGGAGCC